AAATTCTGAAATTCAGAAAAACTGAGCCCAAAAAATGTGAAAATGTGCGTTTCTGTTAATTTTTTACAAAGAATGATAAAGGAAAATAATCAAAACAATTATGCAAAAAAATGATCAAATTTTGCTAAATTATGCGGGGGGCATAAAACCGCGGGGACAGCTTTGTTCAGTTTCAAAAGACAAGGAGAATTTTCTCTCCAAACAGATATACACACCAATGAAACCAAACTTCTCCTATAGGTAGGGCAATGCCCACTTTTGCTGAAGGTCAAGATTATAGGAAACCCCTGAAATCTGGGTAAGACTGCTTGTCCTTAAAAGCGAGCGTACAATCCGAGACACTTCACTGTATTTTCAGTGTCAAAAAAGTTGTGCAGCAGAGTCGTGGGAAAAATAGCACAGTTTATTTTTAACCCTATCTGTACGCCATGGGGTCATTTTGTACCCCCGAGTTGTATTCTTCACATTTAAGATCTCTTTGAAACTTTCAGTATTTCTCAAAAAATCATTTTGACAGACTGTTATGCAAAGCATACGGATCGGATAAACGAGTAAATTTCCTCTTTGGAAAGTGGTGGCACAGAGGTCCCGACGTTGTATGGAAATTTTCACTTTTTATCCACAGCTTATAATTATATCTTTTTGGGTGTCGCGGGAAGAAAGAGATGTCTCTCTGCCACCAGCCGGAGAGTTTAGGTCAGGGGATGCCATGAGGTGTTAATGTTCCCCTGACTCCATTTATCCAGGTCTTTTTCGGTCACCCTCTAGCCTTGTTGCTATCGAATTTTTTATGAAGGCACATTGTCCTGGATAGTGTGTTGTATCGTAGTAAGTACGTTTATTCAGTGTTTAAGGCCATTAGCCCACATCACATCATATAAAGCACTCATTTGATAAGTAAAGTTTCCTTAATGTATAAGTACAGGTTGTGCACAGATCTCTTATCATGGGTCAAACATTGCATATTTCTGTGCCGTATGGATACGATGGTAAAACACGACGTACGGATAGGGTTAAGTGGTGGCACAGAGTTCCCCACGTCGTATGGATACGATGGTAAAACACGACGTACGGATAGGGTTAAAGAGCATGCACCTCGCCTACTTATGGCCGTGTGAACCGA